TTATTTCTTATGAAGCCGGTGTTAGCTTTTTAATTGGTGGTTCATAAGTATAGTATACATTTTGTGACAAAGATAGGAATAAGAAAAAAACAGAAAGTTTTTTCTTCAGAAGAAGATAACTTTGGACTTGGCAAACATAAGGGGAAGTGGTTTAGTCACATATGAAGTTGACAAGGCTCAGGTGATTGTTTAACAGGTTCAAAGGTAAATGATATCTGTGAATAACAACATTTTTTAATGAGATGGAGAAACAAATCACCAACTTCACATGGAAAGGGAAGATGCCCTGGATAAGTAAAGCATTACTGAAAAAGAAGAAGCATAAAGTGGGAGGCCTCACACTACCTGATTTTAGAACCTATTATACTGCCATGGTAGTCAAAACAGCCTGGTAGTGGTACAACAATAGATACAGAGACCAATGGAACAGATTGAGAATCCAGATGTAAATTCATCCACTTATGAGTAGCTGAATTTGACAAAGACCCAAAGTCCGTTAAATGGGGAAAAGGCACTCTCTTTAACAAACGGTGCTGGCACAACTGGATATCCATCTGCAGAAAAATGAAACAAGACCCATACCTCACACCATGCATAAAGACTAACTCGAAATGGATCAAAGACCTAAATATAAACTCTAAAGCGATGAAGATCATGGAAGAAAAAATAGGGACAATGCCAGGAGCCCTAATACATGGCATAAACAAAATACAAACCTTAAGTAACAATCCACAAACACCAGAAGAGAAACTAGATAACTGGGAGCTCCTAAAAACCAAACATTAATGCTCATCAGAAGACTTCACCAAAAGAGTAAAAAGACAACCTACAGACTGGGAAAAAATTTTTGGCTATGACAAACCCAATTAGTGTCTAATCTCTAAAATCTGCAAGATACTGCAAAACTTCAACAACAAAAAGACAAAAAACCAAATTAGAAAATGGGCAAAGGATAGGAACAGGCACTTCACCAAAGAAGACATTCAGGCATCTAACAGATACATGAGGAAATGCTCCCAATCATTAGCCATTAAAAAAACCAAACTCCTTGCCATCGACTTGATTCTGACTCATAGTGACCCTATAGGACAGAGTAGAACTGCCCCGTACAGTTTCCAAGGAGCGCCTGGTGGATTCAAACTACCAACCTTTTGGTTAGTAGGCATAGCTTTTAACCGCTATGCCACCAGGTTTTCCATTAGAGAAATGCAAATCAAAACAACAATGAGATATCATCTCACCCCAACAAGGTTAGCATTAATCCAAAAAACACAAAATAATAAATGTTGGAGGGGTTGTGGAGAGACTGGAACACTTATACACTGCTGGTGGGAATGTAAAATGGTACAACCACTTTGGAAATCGATTTGGCACTTCCTTAAAAAGCTAGAAATAGAAGTACCATATGATCCAGCAATCCCACTCCTTGGAATACATCCTAGAGAAATAAGAACCATCACATGAATAGATATATGGACACCCATGTTCATTGCAGCACTGTTCACAATACTAAAAAGATGGAAACAATCTAGGTGCCCATCAACGGATGAATGAATAAATTATGGTATATTCACACAATGGAATACTACACAATGATAAAAAACAAAGATGAGTCTGCAAAACATCTCATAACATGGATGAATCTGGAAGGCATTACGCTGAGTGAAGTTGGTCAATTGCAAAAGGACAAATATTGTATGAGACCACTATTATAAGAACTCAAGAAAAGGTTTAAACACAGAAGAAAACATTCTTTGATGGTTATGAGGGTGGGGAGGGAGGGAGAGGGGAATTCAGTAACTAGATGGTAGGCAAAGAATTATCTTAGGTGAAGGGAAGGACAACACACAATACAGGGGAAGTCAGCACAACTGGACTAAACCAAAAGCTAAGAAGTTTCGTGAACACAACCTAACACTTCAAGGGACAGAGTAGCCGGGGGAAGAGTCTGGTGACAATGGTTTCAGGAGACATCTAGGTCAATCAGCATAACAAAGTTTATTAAGAAAATGTTCTGCATCCCACTTTGTTGAGTGGCATTTGGGGTCTTAAACACTAGCGAGCAGCCATCTAAGATGCACCAATTGGTCCCAACCCAGCTGAAGTAAAGGAGAATGAAGAATACCAAAGATAAGGAAAATATTAGCCCAAGAAACAAAAAGGGCCACATAAACCAGACTCCATCAGCCTAAGACCAGAAGAACTAGCTGGTGCTTGGCTACCACCAATGACTGCCCTGACAGGGAACACAACAGAGAGTCCCTGATGGAGCAAAATAGGGTACAGAACTCAAATTCTAGTAAAAAGACCGGACTTAATGGTCTGACTGAGACTAGAGGAACCCCAGAAGACATTGCCCCTGGTCTCTGTGTTAACCCAGAACTAAATCCATTCCTGAAGCCAACTCCTCAGACAAAGACTAGACTGGACTATGAGATATAAAATGATATTCATGAAGACTGTGCTTCTTAGTTCAAGTAGATACACAAGATAAATGGGCGGCTCCTGTCCGGAGGTGAGATGAGAAGGCAGGAAGGGACAGGAGCTGGTTGAATGGACATGGGAAATCCAGGGTGGAAAGGAGGAGCATGCTGTCACATCACAGGGAAAGCAACTAGGGTCACATAACAATGTGGGTATAAATTTTTGCATGAGAAACTAACTTGAGCTGTAAACTTTCACTTAATGTACAATTTAAAAAAACAAAGACAAAAAACCTTTAGTCCAGAGCAGTCCAAGGTAGGTATTTCAAGGCCAGGTGATTCCTGGGCTCATTAACAAAGTCATCATGGGTACATAAAGATTTAACAATATTCCTGAATAAGAACTTTCCCTAGAAACCCCCAGAAGACACTCCATCAGAGTCACTTGGCCAGAACTGGGTGGTTTTTATGCTTAACCCAGCTATGGCACAGAGGGGTCACCTTCCCTTAACACGTAGGAGGTGACCACGATACAAAGGTACAGCCAAGGTGAGAGGGAAAGTCTTCTGCCAGAGGTGCCATCAGTGAGACAGGTATGCTCAGATTTCGAGGCAAGTCAAAAATTGCAATGTAGCCTCTGAAAGTTTTTTCATGTATGTGGCATCTGTACGATATCTCTTCAGTGTGCGTGTTCTGGTGCATTAAGTTGAACTTATAGCTGAAGGTTTTACTCACAAAAGCTACACCCTTTGGCCTTCTTTCAGTTGTGATTCCTTTTATGCTGAACAAAGTTGTAGAAATGATTAAAGTTTTTCCACTTTCACTGTGCTCAGGGTATTTATCTGGTGTGAATCCTTTCATACAGAATGCGGCAGGAAATGCAGCTGGAACCATTTCCACATTTGGTGCACATGCATGGCATTTTTAAAGTGCAAACTTTCTGGTGCTGAATAAGGTTAAATTGAGGCTAAAGGCTTTCCCAAACTCACTACATTCATAACGTCTTTCTCCAGTGCAAACTCTCCGGTGCCAAACAAGAGTGTAGCTTTCTCCCAATGCTTTCCCACATTGGCCGCACACGTAAGGCCTTTCCTTGGTGTGATGTGAACTTTCTGGTGTTTAATAAGGGTGGAGACTTGGCTAAAGGCTTTCCCACATTTGCTGCACTCGTAAGGCCTTTCTCCAGTGTGGACTCTCTGGTGGTGTGCGAGGTTGGAGTTGCAGCTGAAAGCTTTCCCACAATCACTGCACTTATAATGCCTTCCTTTAGTGTAGTGCAGTGAATTTCTTAATATGGCCCTTCTAGCCATAATCTTTATAGCTCCCACCAAATGACTGGGTGGGATTATGTAAATGAGGTGCTTGCATCCCACCAAGGGAATTGGATAGCTTGTTAATAATGTAAATAAGGTGCATGGCATGTGAAACCCTTATGAGGGGATTGGTCAGTTTTGCTATCCTGCTAGGCTTAAAATGAGCCAGCCCAGAGGCAGGAAGGGGAGACCTCACCACCACCAAGAAAGAAGAGCTGGGAGTGGAGCACGTCTTTTGAAGCCAGGATTCCTCTGCTGAGAACCTCCTAGATCCAAAAGACAGAGAGAGAGCTACAACACTAGAGATGGAGAGAGACAGCAAGAAACAGCCAGAGAAACGGTGGCAGCAGAACCAGGAGACTGGCAGGAGATGGCACAGTGGGCTTCCTGGCTCATGGAGCGAGACAGCTGAGTGCCTTCAGGCCGAGGCTTACTGGCAGAGTGGGGTGCCTCCAGGCACTTATCAACAGAGCTAAAAGAGCCAGATGCATGGCAGAGCCTTCTGGGTAATGTACTTTCTGCCCTGTACCCGGGCACAAGGAAATAATGCACCAAGATTGCCAAGTTCAGGGCAGGGCTTTGCTTCTTCCTAAAGGGGCCCCACTCAGGTTTTTGTAGTCACCTGGGGTCAATGCCAAGCCCTCACCACCATCCCTCAGGGCAGCAGGCGACAGTTACAAACACATGATCATGAAGAGATCCAATGTGATGACTGCTCAGGGTCACTGACCTTGTTCCCAGCAAGACACTGTCACCCATTACCGACCCTGCAGTTACACCGTGTGAAGTATGTGAACTGAAACCACTGAGGTCCAAGGGGGGTTGCATTAGTTTACTATTGCTGCTGTAACTAGTTACCACAAACATAGCGGCTTAAAACACAAGTTTACTATCTCACAGCTCCAAAGGTAAATCAAGGTGTAGGCAGGGCTGCATTCCCCTCTGGAGGCTCTAGGGGAGAATCCATTTCCTTGCCTTTTCCTGAGCATAAATAGCGTAAATGATATAAAACACAGGGTGTCACAGAAGGTAGATGGACAATGGCTCCTGCCAGAGGACTGAAAACAAAAGAGCTCTGCCAAGGTCTCTCAGTAGGTATAAAAGTACAACAGACTCCAAAGGTTTTCCCACTGTAATAGAATCTGACCCCATCTTTGATGTTTGCTGAGTTCTTTATAAGCCTCCCCCTCCCCCTTCCACTTGCCCCCACTCTAGATAGGCTAATAGAGATGCCTTCATGTATGCCTCTTCCTTTGGTGCTGGTGGGAAATGTAAATCTCACCAATCTTCAGCCTGTGAGTGGAAACTTTTCCCCAGTCCCATCCCTTAGCCACTATGAAGGCCCAACCCACTCCCTCTGCTTTGCTCAAACCAGCACAGACCTGCCTGTGACTACCTAGCTCTCCCCAGGAGTGCCTCTACTAGTAATAAACTTTCTCTTGAATTCTCTTAGTGTGTGAAGTGTCATCAACTTTGGTATCTGAATTAAATTTTGGTCCATCCTGTTTATGTAGGATGACCACAAAACATCACACATGTGACACAGGTAGGGTTATTTCCTCAGGAGAGTGGTATTCTGGTGCATAAGGTTTACCTTCTATCTTAAGCTATTTCACAAAGACTACTCATAGGGCTTCTCTTAGCTGTGATTCCTTTCATGTTGAACGAGGCCATAGTGGCAGCTGTCTTCTTCTAGATACACTGCACTCATAGGCCCTTCTCTTATGTGGTCACTGATGCTGAACAAGTGTGCAGCTCTGGATGAAAGTTTTCTGACATTCACTGCACTCCTAAAGGCTTTAACTGGTGTGAACTCTTTGGTGTTTAATAAGGTTAGATCTATAGCTAAAGGCTTTTCCACACTCACTATACTTGACAGACTTCTCTACCATGAGCTTTCTCATGATGAATAAGGGTGGAGTGTTGGCTAAAAGCTTTTCTACATTTGCTAAATTCATATGGTCTTTCTCCAGTGTGAATTCTATGATGGAGAACACAGTAGGAGCTTTGCCACATTTGCTGCATTCATAAAGCCTTTCTCTTGTGTGGATTTTCTGGTGTCAAACTATGTGGGATTAGTGGCTAAAGGCCTTCCCACATTTGCTGCACTCACATAGCCTTTCTCCAGTGTGACAATCTGGTGCCATATGAGGGCGGAGCTTTCACTGAAGGTTTTTCCACAATCACTGCACTCATAAGGTCTTTCTCCAGTGTGAACTTTCTGACACTTAACCAGGTTAGATCTATGGCCAAAAGCTTTCCTGCATTTGCTGCACTCATAAGGCCTTTCTCCAGTGTGAATTTTCTAGTGTTGAATCAGAGTACAACTTTGGCCAAAAGTTTTTCCACACTCCATGCACTTGTAAGGCCTTTCTCTAGAGTAAATTTTCTGATGCCTTTTCAGTTTAGACAGGTTGACTGAAGGCCCTCCCACACTCCTTACACACATGGGATGTTTCTCCAGTGTGATTTTTTTTCTTTGAGTAATAAGAGTTGTTTTCTCCTTGAAGGCATTTCCACCTGTAGAGCATACAGAGGGTCTCTCTTTAGGGCAGGTCTTAAGGTGGCTGAGGAGGGTGGAACTCTTCAGTACGGCTTTCCCACAGTCATTGCACTGGAAGGGCTTCTGTGTGGCATGTACTCCTGTGAGCTGTTCGAGATTACAGCTGTGTGGGAAGGCCTCCCTGCACTCAGTGCTTCTGTGGGTAGCCTGGGGCTGGAGGAAGTCATGGCTGTCTGGGACATCTTTTACCACACTCTCTGCTTGTGGAGGATTTCCCTGCAGTGTCGCTCCTCTGATGAGTAATCAGAATTGAGGCCTCACACTCATCACAAGTGAAAGCTTTCTCTCCACTCTGAAGTCCCTGTTTAACTTGAAGGTTTGAGCAGAACCAGCAGTCTCTCCCACATGCCCAACACACGTGCAGTTTCTGTCTAGGGTCTGTCCCCTGATGTTTCACCATGTACAAGATTGCTCTGAAAAACTGACCACCCATGTTATAGGGGGAGACCTTCTGGCTAGAAGAATGGCATCAGGATTCCAGACTCGTGATGTTACTTGTTCAGAACCATCCTGTCCCGATGGTGCCTCCTCATCTTCTTTTCCACATTAACCACCTGAAAGCAGATAAATGCCTTCTTTACATATCACACTAGGTGGGAGGGGACAGATACATCACTAACGAACGTCTAACACACCAGAAGTGGTTCTCTGAGTTACTGCGAAACTAAAGGGGCAGGGATTGAGGTGAAGAAGAATCTGTTGTGTTGGATAGGGTACAGCAAAACCACAGTACACACAATCCTGATCAGAGTCAAAAATTTAATGTGGCTGGTAGGATCTTCTGCTCACTCCTAACATGACTCAGTATGGCTCTTGAGACAGGAGAAAGCCCAAACACAGATATCACTTCCTGCTACCTCTTAGTACTAAGCTTTCGAGAACTATTTAAAAATATGTGAACATCTCGTAACAGTTAAGCAAAAGCTGACATTATAGGGTCCAGTATAGGGAGAGTAAGTAAGGAAAAGACCTTAAGGCCAGTGAGGTGAGGGAAGGCAGGGACCATGCATCAGAGGAGAAGAGGCAAGAGGATGGTGTCCAGAAGGGCATAAAGAAAGTGAAACTGAGGGTGGGAAACTGACCTTAGCAATGGGACACTGATATGCACAGGACAATGGCTAGACACAATCCAGCTAAGACCAGGCCCAGCCCCACCCCCTAAATCCCACTCCCCAGGGTTAGGCCTCTTCCTGACCTCTCCTGTCATGGCCAGAATTGCATCCTCCCAGCCAGACCCCCAGGGCTTCTTGCCACGTTCCAGAAAAATGAACTCGTGTGGTGGAGTGGCCACAAGACCTGTGGAGGAAGACACAGCAGGTAAGGGCCCTTCCTTGTCTGTGTGTGACCCACCCTGAAGAGCTTGCTTCATTTTTATTACCAGACAGGAAAAAGATTGTTACGAAATGAACCTTCAAGGAGGGTTTTGTAGGAATAGCCCAGTAGCCCCTGAAAGCAATGACCACGTCAGTATCTTCGGAACTTGGCACCAGGCGACTTTTGGGAAATACCTATTGGAGAAAGGGAGAAGAACCCATGGTACACAGAGGTCACAGCCTCTGTCAGGTGACCCTGCCTGGAAATGGACAAACCCAAGGGGCTTACTGGATAGATGGAGAAAATCCTGACCACCCTCCCCTGGTCACCACAACCCTGGGGCAGCAGGTGTGGGGTGGGGCTCAGGGAGAGCAGTGGTCACTGCCCATGGCCCAGCCTGAGCACCAACAATTCCTCTGACAAAGAACACATAAAGAAGAAAAGCAGGAGACTCACTCAAAGAAGCCAGGAGCATGAAGTTCTCCAGCATTACATCCCAGTACAGTCTGCTTTGGGTCACACTAAGGAGCCTCCACTTCTCCCAGGACAGGCGCACAGCCACGTCCTCAAAAGTCACCAGGCCCTGTGATGATGAAGACAGCTGATCCTGTAGGGCCAGTCACAGGCAGCCACCTTACCACGTTCTCTGTTCAAAGCACACCACACTGGCTCCCTCTGGTACCTCAGCTGTGTGCAGGACCTGCCTAGTCTCCCCTACCCACCTGCATATACTCCAATACTATGTCCACCTCAAGGGCACCCATCTCCATCTTGTTCTATAGCTCTCATTTCCTAAGTCCCACCCAGTGCCACCTCTCTGGTCTAGGATGCCATTATATGCCTAGTCCATTACTGAAGGTTCCTCACTGGCCTCCCGCTTTTTCCCGTGCCTAAGGCTGTTCACACACCAGCCAAAAGACTTGTTAATGACAACGACAGAATAAATCCCAGCTCCTTAACGTTCTATTGTAGCCTAAATCCTCCACTCAGGCTCTCTATTTTCACTAAATAATAAGGATTTGAGGTTCCCTGCATGATCCAGCTCAGTCTCACAAACAAGCATGAAAGACTGGTGCACACCTCATTCCATCCCTTCTACCGGCATACAGACCATTGGTCTGGGATACATGGGCACAGCCTCAAAATGACCTTTGTCGTCCTGACCTTCCTGAAGGAAACAGGAATGGCACACACTCATCCACTAACGTTGGGATTCTAGGACCTTGGGAGTTAGGGGTCCTTGCGCGTGTCTGCAAGTGGAATCCTTCCTTCATTGGAGACGAATTCAGTAGCACCGCTGTTGCCATGACAACCTGCGGAAACAGATGGCACGTGTAGGGTAGACCGCCAAGAAACACCACCGACGTCTGGATGACGCAGGGCAGTGGGCGTCCCCTCTGAGTCACAGTCTCCCGCTCCGTAAAATGGGAAAATACCCAGAGCGCCTTTCCTGAAAAGGCCTTGGGGACGTACAGGTGTTTGCGGAGCCCCGAAAGACACCTCACGGGGCGCCCATTTTACTGTCAGGGAAACCGAGGTTCGGGGGGGATGGGGACATTCGCCCCGTGGGCCCAGCACTAACGCGCAAATGTGCGAAAGGACGGGACCTTCTCAGTCTTACGCACTTTCGTCACCTAAGCCCTGGACGCTCAGGCCTGTAGCCGTCTGAACGTTGCGCCAGCCCAGCGATCAGGAGACCCCAGTTGGCGTGGATAGATGCTCAAACACTCAAAGCAAGAACCTCAGAGCTAGACCCGAAGTCACGTCCCCACCAGCGCTCAGGCACGGAAATGTCCCTCTACTGGGCAACCATTGGCCATTGGCTGATGCGGACGCATGACGCTGCGCCTTGTGGGTAGTGTAGTTCTCACCGCGGCCAGCTGCAGCTAAGGCCGCCCTTCCGATCTCTATGGCAACAACCAAGCGACCCCGCGAGGGGTGCTGGGAAATGGAGTCCCGGTTGGCCGGTATACGGTGGGCGGGTCCGAGGCTCAGCCTTGGAGCGGTCCGCAGAAACTCCCGCGCCGGGGCGTGGCTGGATCTTCAGCTCCAGGTCGGAAACCACGGCTGCGCTAGTGGACCCAGCGCACGTGGGGGAGGATCTCCAGGCCCCCACCCGGCAGGATTCCAAGCCCCAGTGTTCTAAAGCCGCGACTGAGGGCGCCTGTCCTGGGATCACTTTTGGCCCAGACCCCGTGTCTGGGACAGTGGGGCGTGCGTCGGGTGGAAAACCCCACGTCTGCCACCTGATGGGATGAAACGTGGAAGAGTGTTCCAGGCAAAGGAACCCTCAAAGCGTTGAAGGTGAGCCTGAGATGAGGGTATTCGGGAAACCTGAATTCCTTTACTTATGCTGGGACCAGAAAGCCCAAGGGGAGGATTCATGCTAGGAATGGAGGCTGAATAGCTGGACCTTTATTCTGAGGGCAGTAGGAACCGGGGAGTGAAAAGTAAAGGGATGTGATCTGAGCTAGAATTTGACAATTTACTCCTCTGGCTTCTGTGTGAGGGAGTGATGGGGCTAGGTGAAGGTGGAGTTGGGGACACCAGGAAGGAGATGACTGCAATAATGGAGGCAGCGATGGTGGCAGCCTGGACCAGGGCGGAGGCAGAGGAAGTGGGAGAAGTAGTCGGATTCTGAATCTCTCCTAAAGGGAGAGCCAGTGGGATTTGCTGATGATTGTAAGGACGGGGGGAGTGAGAAAGAGACAGAAGATTCGGGATGACTCCAAGGATTGTGGCATGAGCAGCTGGAAGAATGGAGCCTATGGAGATGGAGGAGGAGAAAGAGCAGCCCTTTCCAAGGGAAACGGAGGAGCTGGGTTTTGGATTTGTGTCTGAGATGCCCAAAAACATCTGAGTGGAGAGGTGATGTCGGCAGGTGGACACACAGGTCTGGAGTTCTGGCCGGGTCTTGGCTGGAGATGTCCAAAGGGTGGAAGGCTAGTCGTCTGGTCCAGGGTAAGGCCTGGGAACCAGATTTAGGCGGATCTTAAGATCATAGTAACACAGGCCCAGAAGGGAGAGAGGGGACGGCAAGGGTGAGGCTGGAGGGCTGGGCAGAAGGGATGGGCTGGAGAAGAAGAGGACATGTGATCTGAAGAGGGTCTAGCTGGTGGCAGAGTGTGGGGAGGGCTGAACCCAGAGGGTTGTTTGTCTTGGGACTGAGACTGGGGGTAGTGACCCCAGACGTAGTTAAATGGAGGGCCTGGTCTCTCATAGATTTGCTATCATGTGGCCTTAGCAGGCCTTGTGGACACTCTCTGTGGTGCAAGGGAAAAGTCAGCCAGGCTAGGGGAGCAGCCCAAAGGCAGAGAGGCCTTGTGGGGATGCTGAACAGGGGTCAGTCATGAAGGGATCTGGCCAGGCTAGGGGAGCAGCCCAAAGGCAGAGAGGCCTTGTGGGGATGCTGAACAGGGGTCAGTCATGAAGGGATCTGGAGATGGGAGAAGGGAACTTGTCAGAAGTGCTGGGTTTGACGGAATTTGGGGTGTCAGAAAAGCAGAAAGGGCATGTCAGGCTCGGCGACATCATGTATAGAAAGGAGAGACCTATGGAGGCATCTGGGACCCCTCTGTGGTACTGCAGAGCTGAGGGGTGAAACCGGTTGGGCCGTGGCTGGGAGGTGGCCTTGAATGCAGAAGTAGCGGCTGCCTCCAGCAATGGGCGCCATGAGAGGGTTTAGTAATCCTGGTTGCCTTTTCCACATAGTAACTCTGACTCCAGTGCGCGGCTCCTTTAAGAAGAAACTACTAAGTCCCGCCCCTGGCCCTCTTTGTCAGGGGACACCGGTTCCCTACGCCTTTCGCGGTACCGCTTGGGCGTTGCCATGGAGAACGAGAAGTGCAGGCCGGACCCTGGGAAGAAACTACATTACCCAGAAGACTTTATGGGTCGGTGGCGGGCGATGAGGCAATGACGACCCTGGAAAGGGTAGGTCCTGCGGATTGCATCGGTGGAGGGCGGGACTTCCGGCGTCGCCATAGTTGGCGTTCATCTTTCTCTTGACCAGTCGATGTAAAGCGCCCTTGGGAACCCGGGACACTTCCAGATGCCTCTTCGGAACCCAGCCGGGGATGACAGTGAGCAGGATGAGACCCACCTCTGCGCCTTTAAACGATCCATGAGCCTCTGTAACAGGGGTATCCACCGGGCGTCTGCCGGGGCCGCTTAGTCCCCGGCGTTTCCATGCTTCCCCCGTTCCCCCGCGCTCCTCGGCCGGGGCGTTTGCGGCCTTGGACTCATTTTACACGGTGGAGTCTGAGGCACGTGTGAGACAGTCAGCCCGCGGTCACCTCCCCACGGTAGGGACAGGGGTGGGGGTGCCTGAGCCAGTGGTAGCCACCCTGGTTACCTCCTCTTGCGGCCCTGAACCGCTTAAAGTGTCAGCTGGCGGCAGCGGCGGTACTGATGGACCCGGATCAGGTGAGTGGATGGTGCGCCAGACCCTTACTCGGACTTCCACCCACATAGACTCGGAGTCCACGTATGGGGGGGTGGTTATCCCAGCACTCTTCCTTGCCCCCTACTCCGCCGCCCTGACCTCGCTACTGGGGACCCTGGGATTACTCCAAGCCCACGATCCAGTATCCCTCCTAGAGATTATTTGCAGGTGTCAAATTTCTAGAATCCAAAGGGAGGAGGTGTGGAAGACTGCTTCAGAGATATGGAGCAGGATGTGTAAATGCTTGGAGATGAGGCTGAGCTAGGAGTGTTCAGGGAGCCACAGGTCTCCACTAAGTCTGGTGGAGACAGCAGGAAGCAGGAGTCGGCCCTGGAATAGCAGCCTGAGGAGCTGAGCCTCTATTCTGAGGGTGTGGGAACCATGGAAGGTTTGGAGCAGATGAAGGAGGTGATCTGACTCAGGTCTTAACAGTCTCCCTCTGGCTGCAAAGTGGAGAACAGAGTGTTGGGGATATGGGGGAGAAAGAAGGAAGGCTGATTAGATTACTATTATAATAGATCAGGTGAGTAATGATAGTGGCTAGGCAAATGTGGTGGCTCTGGAGATGCGCATAGTTGTTGGGCTCTGGATATGTTTAAGTAAGGCCAATCTGATATTATGATGTGGAGGCTGAGAGTGAGAGAGAAAGGGAGAAGTCAAGGATGACCTCATGGTTTTGGGCCTCAGCAACTAGATAGAAGTGCCAGCTACTGAGGTGGGGGAAAACAGTGGATGGAGCAGACTTCAGAGAAGTTCAGGATGTGTGTTTTGGCCATGTTGACTCTTTGAGAAGTCCCAGAGACCTCTAAGTGGAGGTATCAAATGGGCAGCTGGACACACAGGTCTGAGTTCTGTGGAGGGATTTGGTGGCAGCCAGCCTATGGACTGAGGTGGAGCTCTGGTTCAGATTTAGGAGGAGGGCATCTTTAGGTCATGGTGACAGATGCCCTGTAGGGGTGGCCGAGGACTGATTGGCTGGCCTCGGCCCATGGGCAGGGTTGGTGGGTGTCATAGAGTCTGATGAAAGGAAGAAGCAATCCTGAGGGAAGTTGTGTGTGGGAAGAGGAGGGTCCAGCAGATAGCTAAGGCTCCCTGGGATGAAGACTGAGACATTGGAAGTCAATGTAGGATGACAGTGGTGTTGAGGTTCGTGCTTATGAACCCCTGTGCAGGTTCACAATGGACTCAAACATTCAAACGATCATGAAGATGTGCACTAACAGCCAACATTTTGTTCTGTTATATCAAAGGTCACTACGAGTAGGAGGCAACTAACCACACAGACTCATTGTCCTTTCTCAGCCACTCTCTGTAGAGTCTGGGGTTTCAGTCTGGATGGTGGATTAGCTCAGTGGAAGACAGGTTCAACTAGGAGAGTCCCAAGCCTACTGTGGGAGATGGTGGGGCTTGGCTTTGAATGCACATCAGGAGGAGAGAGGAATGCTGTAGCTGGTGAGGAGGAGACAGCATGTGTAAAGGCAGAGAGGCCTAGGGGTCTCAGAGATGCATGTGTGGTTCTAGGTGGCTGAGGGTTGGGACTAGGCACAGGGCCAGGTAGGGAAACTGTGAAGGAAGGGTTGGGCGCTGCTGGCAGGTGGGACTTTGGAGATTTGAGGCAGGACTGGGGCGGGATGGGATCCTGGTTGCCCTCACCAAGCCTCCAAGCTCTGGACACCATTTGTAGAGTGGCATGTGGGAGACCCTGGAGATGCCATCTGTGTGGGCATTGCAGGGGGGCAGTAGAGTTATGGAGATAAATGGTCCAAAGAGTGATGTGCGTGCAGGGAGGTAGTTTGGTAGTGTCTGGGAGGCACAATCTGGGGGATCCCGGGAAATTGCCTGGCAGGAGGGGTGGGGGCCTGCATGCCAGACCCAGAGCTTATGTGGTGTCTGTCTGCCCACCTGCCTTTTGCTACTGAGGGATAGACACAGTGATCTATGGCATCCTGTGGAGAGGGCAGCACCAGTGGCACTGGGACTTGGGGAGGAGAGTGAGCTGGAATGTGTTTGACAAGGGGGGGTGGCCTGGGGGTCATGGAGGAAGATACCCCCTTCTGGAGAGGTGGTGGGATGCTGGTTCATGGGCCGAGGGTCTGGATGGGTTCATTTGTGCGCTGTTTTTGTCCATTATGCTGCTGCCCTTTGGTGTAGTTCACTTAGCTATCCCCATCATGGCAGGATCGGGTGACCTTTGAGGACATAGCTGTATACTTCACCTGGAAGGAGTGGGGCCTCCTTGATGAAGCTCAGAGGCACCTGTATCATGATGTGATGCTGGAGAACTTTTCACTTGTGGCCTCACTGGGTAAGGCCCTCACACCCACCTCAGTTTTCTGTCCTAGGCTCAGGCCTTCCTGTTTTGCACAGGGGGAGCTCTGTCCTTCCCACAGCCAGAACACAGGTATTACCTCCTTCTCTGGATCCCTGGAGTCACCGTGTGTGCAGGGCTAGGTTGCATGCACAACCTGGTCTTCTCTCTAAGAAGCCCAACATCTACTGTCTGAAGCCTTGTGGGGAAGGGTTCAGGGGTCAGGGGCCTCAGTTTGGCTGCCTGAGTCTGTCCAGATTGATGGCATCTTTGTGTCCCAGGTGCTGCCCCCTTTTTCAGTCAGGAGAGGCTGCTAGGAACTGCAGGCACCAACATTGTTATTTTTGGGACCACTGTGCTGTTCCTAGAAGTTTTTCAGAGACTTATTTTGTAACATTGAGTTTTCTTACTGGTTGTAAAGTTGGCATAAGCTCCCTTTGGTTTGTCACAGGGTAGGTTGCCCAGAGCTGGGGCTGGCCACTCACCTATCCTGTCTTTCCTCCAGGACTTGCATCATCCAAGTCCTGTGTGGTTGCCCAACTAGAGCAGGATAGAGAGCCCTGGATGCCTGACACGGTGGATGCATCTCCAGCCACAGCAAGAGAGGCCCAGAGGGGGCCTGGGCCTGGTGAGTGGGAGCTAGGGGAGGAGGTGACATCAGGGCTGGGTGCACATCATGTCCTGTGTCTTACCTATCCTGTGTCGACTAGCGTTTTGTTGCTACATCCAGTAGCCACATCTTACTTGCATCTTTCTTTCCTTATTCTGGATGCTTTACCTTCTTGGCATTTCTACTCTGATTTCCAGCCCCTGCTGGCTCCAGCGCCCTGGCCTCCATTTCTCACCCTTTTCCCCCTCCTCTGCTCCCTTTGCAGGGCCTCCCCACATTGGCCATATCTCAGTGTTCTATGAGATATGCGTATATCTTCACCTAGACTTTGGGAATCTGTTACCCAGTAATAACTGAATTTTCCGGGCCTTGTATATAGGACTCTCTGTCCCAGGTTTTGCCCCCTTTTCCTGACAGATTTCCTGCAGCCTGCCTGTCTCTGGTCCTCCTGAAAACCTAGGAGTTAATTAGAGTCCCTGCCTCTCCTCCTAGCCTGAACCCCTGTGTTCTCATACCTAGTGAAGCCTCCCTCATTCTGTGGCCTCCTTGGGCTTAGCCCTTCCTCACCCTGACTTGATCTCACAGACTCATTCCTGAATGTGTCAAAACACATTTGTAAAGGGGCTACCCCCTCCCAACACAATCTACATACACTTCACCAGCATTGCTCTCTTTCAGATTATTGCTGTGGAGTGGAAGAGGCCCCTCTTGAGCAGCGTGTTTCTAAAGAAGGATTGTTCCAGTTTGGGACCCCTGAGGAAGGTTCTTCCACCCAGAAGGCAAAAATCTGTGACATGTGTGGCCCACTCTTGAAAGACATTTGGCACCTGGCTGAGCACCAGGGAACACACTCCAGGCAGAAAGTGTACCTATGTGGGACATGGGGCAGAGGCTTCTGGATCAATGCAAACCTTCACCAGCACAAGAGTGGAGAGAAACCTCTCAGATGGGACAAAGACAGGGTTTTATTTGTGAAGAGCTTCAGTGTCCCCATGTCAGAGAAGCCTTTCACATGCAGGGAGTTTGGTAAGGATGTCCAGGACAGCCATGACCTCCTCCAGAACCAGGCCACCCACAGTGAGGGAAAGCCATTCAGAAGCACTGAATACAGGGAGGTCTTCCCACACAACTCCAGTCTTGAGCAGCAGCAGGGAGTCCACACTGGACAGAAGCCTTTCAAGTGCAGTGACTGTGGGAAGGTCTTCCTGAAGGCCTTCGCTCTCCTCGACCATCTGATAACTCACTCTGAAGAGAGAGCCTGTAGATGCCCGACAAGTGGAAGTGCCTTCAAGAAGAAATCAGCCCTTGCCGATCATCAAAAGTCTCATACTGGAGAAACATTCTATGTGTGTAAGGATTGTGGAAAGGCCTACACTTACCTATCTCTTCTGAGAATGCATCAGAAAGTTCACACTGGAAAAACCCATTACAAGTGCAGTGAATGTGGGAAAACCTTCACTCGTAAGCACTCACTTAGTCAGCACCAGAAAATTCACACTGGGGAAAGACCTTATGAGTGCAGACAATGTGGGAAAGCCTTCACTCGCAACTTCCATGTTGTTCGACATCAGAAAGTTCACAACACAGAAAGGCCTTATGAATGCAGACAGTGCCGCAGAGTCTTTAGCTGTATCTCCAGCTTCATTCAGCACCAGAAAATACACACGGGAGAAAGGCTTTATGAATGCAGTGAATGCGGGAAAGCTTTCATTAACAGCTCCCACCTTGCTCGGCACCAGAAAGTTCACAACACAGAAAGGCCTTATGAGTGCAGTGAATGTGGGAAAGTCTTCCGTCAAACCTCCAAACTTGTTCTACATCAAAGGATTCACACTGGAGAAAGACCTTGTAAGTGCAATCAATGTGGGAAGGCCTTCAGTTTCCCCTCCAATCTCATTCAGCACCAGCGAATTCATACTGGAGAAAAGCCTTATGAATGCTCAGAATGTGGGAAAGCCTTCAGTCAAAGCTCTGCCCTTATTCAGCACCAGAAAGTTCATACTAGAGAAAGGCCTTATGAATGCAACGAATGCGGGAAAGCCTTCAGCTATAACTCTAACCTTGCTAAACACCGGAAAGTTCACACTGGAAAAAAGGCCTTATGAGTGTGGCCAGTGTGGAAAGGCCTTCAGTGAAAGTTCTATCCTTAGCACCAGAGAGTTCATACTAAAGAAAGGACTTATGAGTGCAACAAATGTGGTAAAGCTTTCCGCTACAGCTCTAACCTTTCTAAGCAACAGAAAGTTCACACTGGAAAAAAGCCTTATGAGTGCAATGAACATGGGGAAATCTTTCAGCCTCATTCAGCACCAGAAAGGTCACAACAAAGGCCGTAGCAGTGCAGTGAATATGGGAAAGCAGTTAGCTGTGGCTTTCTCCCTGTTCAGCATAAAAGGACTCACTCCTGAGAAAAGTTTTATGAAGAACTTTTGTGAAGATGCCATCAGCCAAAAACGGAAATTTATACAGCCCAATACCTCACTAGAGAGATTGTCCATGAGTGCCAGTTACGTGTAAAGCTTTCAGGAGCAACATTGTACTTTCTAACTTGCTCATGTCCTTTGTCAGATATATCACTTGACAGTGCCTATGGTAGATGCCATTTCACCTTACCATCTGGCAGGTCTCCACAGTGTGTGCCTGTCATCTCAGCATACTCAGGGAGGGCAGAACTCTGTGCTCGCTTTCTGATTCTGGAGGAAACCATAAATGATGTGAGCCCTTTGGAGTGAGTTTATTTCTCAACTTTCCCCTGTTCCCAAGGTTTAGGTATTGCCCTGACCTACTTCTGTCCATGAGAATCTGAATTGGAGTCTGCTCAGGACTCCCAGAGAAGGTTTCCCTTTTTCATGGGCATTGTTGAGTCTACAGATGACACCTGCAATGGGTTTGTCCAGCCACTAAATACCCAGCCTTGGAACTGCCTGCCTTACACTGCTCCAGAGTGTGTAATAATAAAGGCCTTATGGTTTAAGCCGTCTTTAATTCTGGGAGTGCCATCCATTGTGTGTGGGGAAGGGTTGAGAACAGAATTAGGCTCTGCCAGCATGAAGTGGGTAAAGGGCTTTGAGGGGAGCCACTTCATATGCCTCATGGGCAACTTCAGGATGACAGGGACCAGCTTTCAGTCTAGTTTAACCTAATGTGCTTTGCAGCTCAGATCTTCCTGGGAAAGGCTGAAGGTCTCTGTGGGCCAGATCTTATGTCCCAGATGCCAGGATTATCTACTGGACTCAGAGCTTATCCCAAAGAGTATTTGGTGTGGCAATCTCCAGTAGTTCTTAAAGCAGGAGGAGTCGGGTCCCTTGTTCCCAAGGACCTTTGAGAGTCCTCTACAGTGTTGTGGGGTAGCTGTCTCCTGTGACCTGCCCCTGAAGTCTAGAATCCATAGGCAGACGTCACTGACTATAACATCTACAAGGCCAAGTCAGAACCATAAATGAGTACAGAAACACTAGGCTTGAGGTCATAGGGAATGAGGGGGACAATGGCAAACAAGAAGAATCCAATAGTGTGCTTGAGCCAGATCATACCCACCCATAAGTGTTGATTATGTTAAACTCCACGTTCAGTGACATCACATTACATCCCCACATAGCCCAGGTATTGGAGCAGTTGTGGCTGCCTATGTAGTTGGGACACATCCCTCTTTTCCAGTCTATCCCTCCCTCTCATTTACTCATCTAAGGCACTTGCCTGGCCACTGTAGGTCTTACATTTGGTGACACCTGCCTGTTGGGGTCTAGATTCAGGATCGTGACTCTGGCTTGGTCCCAAAAGACAACTTCTCAAGACCTATGGGGAATATTAGACATCTAGCAATAAGACCAATTGCCTGCTGCTCCCAAGGAACTTGACAGTCTTAGACTAACAATACCATTTTTCAGAATGAGTGGAGTCCGTGGGTCACAGCTTTCAGCTCATAGTATCCTTCAGTTTAACGGGAGACACTAGCAGCAATGCATATAAGGTCAGAAGTGGAGAGTCAGGCCCTGCATGTGCAGAGTTCACTTTGAGTCAGATATGGTGGAGGGACCCTCATACACCATTCACCACCCTTCATGCTGACAGAGCTGATTTTTACCTCCGCCCACCCCACATAATAAACAGATCCCTAAAGATTGAAGTAAGCTTAAATAGTAAGGTTTAAATAATACAACCTTTATCATCAGACAAGTAGGCCTGGTGGCTCCTTGGTTAAGCACATGACTGCTAACCAAAAGATCAGCAGTTCAAACCCACCAGCAACTCCATGGGAAAAAGACCTGGCAATCTGCTTCTGTAAAGGTTACAGCCTTAGAAATCCTATGGAGCAATTCTAATCTATAGGATCACTATGAGTCAGAATCGACTCGAAGGCAACGGGTTTGGTTTTTAATGGGTATCATCAGACAGTCCAGAGTGATTCGAGGTAGGTTGTTTGAAGGTTTGGTGATTCAGAGTATGGTAATTTTTCTGCTTACCTCAGAACCTGAGGATATATTTTGTTATATAGCAAAAGGGACTTTGGAGATGTATTTAAGTTAAGTATCTTGAGATGGAGAAATTCTGTATTATCCAGGTGGGCCCAGTGGGATCACAAGGGTCCTTAAAAGTGGAAGTTGGGGGCAGGAGAGGTGGTCAGATTGACTTGATGTGAGAACTTGGCCTACTGTTGCTGACTTTGGAGATGGAGGAAGGGGCCAGAAGCCAATGAATGCAGGCAGCCTCTAGAAGCTGGGAAAGGCAAGGAAACAGATTCCCCCCTAGAGCCCCCGAAAGGAACACAGCCCTTGATTTCAGCCCAGTGAGACCCATATCAAACTTCTAACCTATAGAACTAAGATAATAAATGTATGATGTTTTAAGCCACTAAGTTTGTGGTAATTTGTTGTAACAGCAATAAAAAAAACAAATGTATAAAGGTTCATCAAATCCATCACAGATGTGATATACAAACTTGACAACATCTGTGATGAGGAAAGCTTCCCCAGAATTCTTTATCAGACTCCCACTCAGGGTCCCTTTCCAACTCATGACCCCTTGCGTCGTGCCTATCATGGCCATGCCTAATCTGGATAGGAGGAAGCCAGGGGACTGTAACTCTTGAGTGAGTGGGGCATGAAAGCTCCATGATTTGGGTCATCCCAGCAGGTGGATTGAAGACAGTTCTGCAACAGGCCTGATAGCTTTTCCAGGTCTCTCAGCTAGTCAGAAAATATACAAAGTCCCTGGAAGCTTTCCCACATACATGACACTCCTGGGATACTTCCCCAGTGAGGGTGTTCTGGTCTGTGAGATGCCACATCTGGCTGAGGGCTGTTTCAGAAATGCTCCTCTCATAACGGCTTCTCTCAAATGTGAGTCTTTTTATGCTGACAAGGTCGTAGCAGCAGTCAAAGGTGCTTCTGGATCGTGCCTTTCTCTGATATGAACTCTCGTGCCAGACAAGTGGGTAACATTGGCTGTCCCATTGGCTGAAGTTTTCCCATATTGGCAGCACCCCTTAGCAGAGGTTTGAACACTGGTGCTGGCTAAGGTCAGAACTATAGCTGTAGACTGTCCTGCATTTGCTGTACTAAAATGACTTTCACCAGTGTGAACTGTCTGGTGCCTCTCCAGCACTGAGAAGCGTCTGAGATTTTACCCTATGGGCAAGCTAACAAGTTAGCCTGATAAGTGAGTATTAGAGCCTGAGTTAGAACCTCCAATATAGGTGCAGAACCCATGCTCTTAACCACTGTACTAAGTCTAGTCCTTACCTCATATGGATGTAGGGAGGATAAAATAAAATGAGTTAAGTGACTGCAGCCAGAACTGGTACACGATAAGCACTCAATAAATATTCATTGCTGTTATTTCATTAATGTCATGGCTACTGTTATTATTTAATTGATGAATATGAATTTTTGTATGTAATAAGAGGGGGCTCATGAGCCCAGCACAGGGTAGTGTATGAACAGAGGCCTGGAAGCTGACAGCCTGGGCCTTTAAAGAATAGATGTCCTCTGTGGCAGAGGGAGGCTGAGTGGGCTGGGCTGGTGAAATCAGGGGTGAAGGGAGGGACCGAAGTCTGGAGGGCCTTCCCAATCCCCTTTCAGTTTGGGATTTCAGCAAACGGAATTGGGAACACAAGGATAACACACTGTATATCCCCCATAGGCAGACTGGGTGGCAACTGAAGGACTAGGGCCAAGGCTTACTGCAGAGCCAGTCATTCTCCAGGAGGTGCAGCTGTCAACATGCTGGCCACTTAGGCTGGCTCCCTCAGATTCTTCAGAGGAGCCTCAAATCCAGATATTGCTGTGAAGTCACCTAACTTTTAATGATGGAATCTTAACATTTTGAGTATTTAACAGACTCTATAGGAAGCCTCAAAACCAACTGCAACCTTGGGTTGGAGCTGGATTTCCAAGAGGGTCCTGGATGGAGTAAAAGCCAGAGGGGGCTGAGAAGGGCCAAGTCTTAAGAGCATTGAGCAGTCATCAGACTGGGAGCTAAATCTAAATAGGCTGGAGACTGTGGAGAGAAAGACAGGGAGTGGGATCAGAATGCCTGTGACAGAATGTTTCCAGGGACAAATTGGCAGATGGTTGGGGTCAGGCCTCAGTCCAGGCATACAGGCAAAGGGGGCAATAAGAATGCTATCTCCAGCTGAATTTTTTGGTAGAAACTGACAAGCTGATCCTAAAAATTATATTGACAAGCGAGACTGGGAGAAAATAGTTGTACATCATATATCTGATAAAGAAGTTGTAACCAGAATATATAAACAACTTGTACAACTCAGTTATAAGAAGCCAACCCAATTTAAAATGGTAAAAGATTGGAATAGAGATTTCATCAAAGAAGATACACAGATGGCTAATAAGCACACGAAAAGATGCCCAACTTCATTATTCATTCAACATAAACGAAACCCATTGCCATCAAGTCTATGCCAACTCATAGGGACCCTATAGGACAGAGTAGAACTGCTCTATAGGGTTTCCAAGGAGCAGCTGGTGGATTCGAACTGCCAACCTTTTGGTTAGCAGCTAAGCTTTTAACCACTGCACCACCAGGGCTTTAGGAAAATGCAAAGTTAAACCCCACTGAGATACCATTTCACACCTACTAAAATGAATTACATTAAAAAGACAGACAATACCAAGTGTTAGCAAGGAGGTGGAGAAACTGGAACCCACCTACACTGCTGGTGGGAATATAAAATGGTGCAGCCACTTTTTGGAAGAGTTTGGCAGTTTTTTTAAGAATTAATCATAACCTTACCTTGTGACCCAGCACTTCCACTCCTAGGAGTCTACCCAAGAGAAATGAAAACGTGTTCACACAAAGATTTATAAATGAATGTTCATAATAGCCAAAAACTGGGAACAATCCAAAAGCCATCATATGGTGATGTATAAACAAAATGTGATCCAGTCAATCCTCATTATTCATGGATTCTGTATTCGTGAATTCGCCCACTCACTAAAATTTATTTGTGACTCCAAAACCAATACCATGGCGCTTTCATGGTCATTCCTGGACATGCTGTAAGAACACATACAAATCAGAAGAAAAAGAAGTTTAATTCTCCATTGAAGAAAAAAATAAGAGGCTTTCCTCTTAACGCATTTACTTTAGAAAACTTATATGTTCTTTGTCTGTTTCTTTGAAATGTATGTAAATCTTTTTAAAGGCTAAATAAGCCTCTTGCCAATTTTACAACCCAGGGATGTTTCCTCAGGGACCTGGAAGCTATTCTTTTGCAATGTAAGCAATCAAGGAAGATAGCACATCCTCCCCCCCACCCCCACCCCCAGTTTCCTGGGAAGATAGAAGCCTAATTCCTCTAGAACTTGGCTCCAAGTAGCCAATCTACCTCCGGTAATAAACATACCCCCCCCCAAAAAAAACCTCGTTGCTGTCTAATCACTTCCGACTCATAACTGTCATACAGGACAGAGTAGAACTGCCCCATAGGGTTTCCAGGAAGCAGCCGGTGGATTTGAACTGCCGACCTTTTGGTTAGTAGCCTGAGCTTTTAACCACTGAGCCACCAGGGCTCAGGTAATAAAGATAGGAGAATTTTATTTTCCCCCACCTTGAATAAGGGCAACTAGCGAACACAGGTGGCTATCCCAATTACCAGGCGAATTTAGCATGAACGACGTATGACAAATGGTGCTGTCAAGTGCTCTTACTCGAGGACCAGTTTTTTATCTTGACAACATGTGAAATGGGTTGCATTTGTTTGGCAACATAAAGGATAAATTCCTTTCTGTCTTTGCAATCTCTTGAGTGGATTGCCTGCATTCTGGTTTAATGCTTACTCAATAATAAAATTTTCTTTGTCTTCTTTTCTGGCGAATCTCCATGGGTTGGCAGGAGATTTTGCTTTTAATTATGCTTCCCCAACAACGTGCAGAGCAGCGAAAAATTTGAGTCAACTGATGTGCATGTTCCCAGCCGAGGTTGAAAAAGGTGACGCTCTGCCTTCTTATTTGAGTTCTCATACTGTAATCAAGTGTCCTTTTTGCAGTCTATTTAGTGCCATGTTTTTTTTACATTGTACTTTCTGTTGGGGATTTCACTGTTTAAAGTGGCCCCCAAGCAGACTACTGAATTGCTGTCTAGTGTTCCAAAGCACAAAGGGGCTGTGATGTGCCTTATGGAGAAAATATGTGTTAGAGAACCTTTGTTCAAGCATAAGTTATAGTGCTGTTGACTATCAGTACAATGTTAATGAATCAACATTATATATTGAAAAAGGTGTCTTTAAACAGAAACACATAAAACAAAGTTATGTATTAATCAGTTGACAAAAATGTGACCAGAGTCTCACTAGAACCTATTCCCGTATTTCCCCTATGGCATTGGTTCAGTATTCACTAACTCATTATTCATAGCAACTTTATCAAACATAACGTGAATGATGAGAATTAACTGTATATCCATACAGCAGAATATTATTCAGCAAGAAAAGGGAACAAAGTACTGACACATGATATGACGTGTATGAAACTCAAAAACATTATGCTAAGTGATAGAAGCTAGACACAAAAGGCCACATTATGATTTCACTGATATGAAATGTCCAGAAAAGACAAATCTATAGGACAGAAAGTAGGTTAGTGGTTGCCTGAGAATGGGTTTCAGTTGCAAACATGCCCAAAGGAACTTTTCGCATGCAATGGAAATGTGATGTGATGATGGTTGCACAACTCTATAAATCTACTAAAAAGCATTAAATTGTGCACTTACAATGGGTGAATTTTATGATATATAAATTATACTTCAATAAAGCTGTTTGAAACAAAGCAAAACAAAAAGACTGTGGGCTCTTCTCACAGTCCCCAAGTTTCTGATCACATGGTGACAGCCAAAAGTACCCAGGTCACTGGAAGATGGCAGGAATACATAAAACTATTAGTAGAGCTCCCTGGCCAACTGACTGGAAGAGATCCATATTTGTACTCATTCCAAAGAAAGGCAATCCAACAGAATGTGGAAAATACTGAACAATATCAATAATATCACAGGCAAGTAAAATTTTGCTGAAGATCATTCAAAAGCAGTTGCCACAGTACATGAGAGGGGACTTCCGGAAATTCAAGCCAGATTCAGAAGAGGACATGGAATGAGGGATATCATTGCTGACGTCAGATGGATCTTGGCTGAAAGAGAGTACCAAAAAGATGTTTGCTATGTTTTATTCACTATGCAAAGGTATTCGACCATGTGGATCATGACAAATTACGGATAACATTGCGAAGATTGGTAATTCCAGAACACTTAATTGTACTTAGACCAAGAGGCAGTGGTTTGAACAGAACAAGGGGATACTATGTGGTTTAAAATCAGGAGAGGTGTGCATCAGGATTATATCATTTCAACATACTTATTCAATCTGTATGCTGAGCAAATAATCCGAAAATCTGGACTATATGAAGAACGCAGCATCAGGATTTGAGGAAGACTCATTAAAAACCTGTGATATGCAGATGACACAACCTTGCTTGCTGAAAGTGAAGAGGACTTGAAACACTGATGATGGTGAAAGACTACACCCTTCAGTATGGATTACACCACAATTTAAAAAAAAAAAAAATCCCCAGAACTGGACCAATAAGCAACATCATGATAAATGGAAAAATATTGAAGTTGTAAAGGATTTCATTTTACATGGATCCACAACGCCCATGGAAGCAGCAGTCAAGAAATCAAACGACATATTGCATTAGGCAATCTGCTGCAAAAGACCTCTTTAAAGTGTTAAAAAAGCAAAGATTCACTTTGAGGACTAAGGTGCACCTGATTCAAGCTATGGTATTTTCAGTCACCTTATCCTTATATGCATGTGAAAGCTGGACAGTGAATAAGGAAAACCAAAGAATTGACGCCTTTGAATTATGGTGTTGGCGAAGAATATTGAATATACCATGGACTGCCAGAAGAACAAACAACTCTGTCTTGGAAGAAGTAACAGCCAGAATGCTCCTTAGAAGTGAGGATGGTGAGACTTTATCTCACGTATTTTGGGCATGTTGTCAGGAAGGACCAGTCCCTGGAGAAGGACATCATGCTTGGTAAAGTAGAGGGTCACTGAAAAAGAGGAAGACCCTCAAGTAGATGTATTGACACAGTGGCTTCAACAATGGGTTTAAACATAACAATGATTGTGAGGATGGCACCGGGCTGGGCAGTGTTTTGTTCAGTTGCACATAGAGTCACTATGAGTCAAGAACTGACTCGATGGCCCCTGACAACATAGCTGTGGGAGATGCACAGGTCTACAGGCCTCTAGACACTCTGCATGTCTTCATCCTGCACGGGCCTATTCACTAAAGGAGCTTGCAGTCTCCCCCACATCCTATTTCCTCATACCCAGTGTTTCTTCATCTACTTAGGATAGTCACCCTGCCCTTGTATGAATACTAGTAGGTGGCATGCTAACAGGGCCTTGCCTCCGGAGGGCTTGAGTTCTGGCCAGGCCCAGGAGAATAGCTTCCTTTCAGCATTCTGGGGGTAGACATCACCTGGCCCAAAGACAACCATTCTGCTTCTCCCAGACCAACCACTCTCTTCTCCAAGTGAGCTCCAGGATGGGATTCAGAACACAGAGCCTGTCATCCTTTCCCAGGGGACATGAGGTAGAAATGCAAAGTGGGCCACAACTGGACCAAAAGAGGCTCCCTCCGTGCCTTGCTGCCGTGCTCTAAGTCAGGTGTTGTTGGGGCCTTTGAAGGCCAGCCTCCCTGAAGGCGTCCCTGTTATGTCTCAACTCACTCCATCTGCTAAACAGGACTCTGGCATCGTAGGTCACCTACCACGCCCGCAGCCCGCTACAGGCTGGGTGACCTCAGACCGGCCGGTTTTCTGAGCCTCTGTCTCCTGCTCCGTAAGGTGGACGCAAAGCCAAGGGCTAGGATTCCAGGGAAGCTGGGGGTGGGGGGGTGGGGCACGGATGGACTTTTGCAGAGACTCCAGAGGACACCTCCGCGCGATGTGGCCCGACAGCTCCACAGTGCCGTCCCCTCCACCACCGGAGACACCGAGGCTCGGGAAGGCTAGACGTTCGCCGCGGTCACGGTGCGTACAGGAGTGGTGGCAGGACCTCTCCGATTCTCGGGCCGCACCTCGCTCTCGTTTCCGCTGGGCGGAGGAGCCTGCCGGGATGCCATCCCCGGCCCGACGATCCGGTCCCTCAGCCGTGAGTGGACAGAACGGCGAGTTGCCAAAGTAACTGTCAGAGGCCGACGATGGAACTTCCACCCCGGCTGGCGCGGCCCGCTCTGAGTATCTCTCTCCTGTTCCGATTGGCCAGCGTCGTTGCCAATACACGGCAAGGGGACTTTCAGGCAATGTAGTTCTCGTCAAGCCCACTGCAGATGGCGCTTCGCGATCACCTTGGCAACCGCCAAGGGATACCAGCAAAGAGCTGGAGGAAATGGTGTCATAGTCTTGGTGAGTCCTAAGCCAATCAAGACTTAGATCAGGGGCGTTTCAGCGCGGACAGCAGCGTGTGGAGCGGGACTTCCGTTGTCGCTTTGGCTGTCCTAATTTTGCGGCTTGCAGGTTCGTTCGCAGGCGACCACAGGAACTGTCCCTCTGGTCAGGGCCGCCTTCCCTGGAGGCCGCAAGGGCCGAGGAGAAGAGAGGGTAAAAAGGCCGGGCCCCTCACCGCGCCTCAGCACGCGCTGTGATTTCCTGGCGAATGGCTCCGCCGCAGTGAGCCTAGTTTCCCAACTGCGGAACGGGTGCCACGAGTCTCCGGGGCCTCCGTACCTGCTGTCAGTTACCGTGGCCCACCCTGCTTCTTTGGCGCGTTTTACGCCGGAGAAGACTGAGGTTCGGAGTGTAAGAGTCAGCCCGAGGTCACCCTGCCCAGTGAGGGTGTGGGCGTTCGGTTAAGCCCAGGGGACCTGTCGGGATCTCCCCCCTCCCAATGGGCCCGCTCCGCCCACAGGTTCCGGTGGGGTTGTCAGCGTCGCTGATGGACCCAGTGCAGGTGAGTGGAGGGTGCCCCAAGCCCTCATCCGCTGGGATCCCCACCCTCATGTTCCTGGAACCCCAATATAGGGGATGATTGTGTCCTGGAACTCTTTGACTTCCTTTATCCCTGCCCATGATTCTGGGCTCTGAGACCGTCCAGAATTCAGGCCAGGGGTTATATGGAGTGGTTCCCATTTCTGGAATCCTATGGGATGAGGTCTGCAAAGGTGTCCCAGCTATAGGGACATGTGCAAATTGCTTGGAGGTGAGGATGGGGTGGAAGTGTTCCGGGAACCGCGTTTCTCTGTTACATTTGGTGGAAACAGAGCAGGAGGCATGCCTCAGACCTAGAATGGCAGTCTGAGGAGCTGGTCCTCAGGGTTGAAGCCATGGAAGGTTTGGAGTAGAAGAAGGAACTCAGGTTATAACAGGCTTCTTCTGACTGTAGAGTGGACAACATTGTGGGGTGAGGGTAGAGACAGAGTTGGTGGACCAGAGGGGTGCCTGTGGAGGTAAGGGAAATAGTTGGCTTCTGGATCTGCTTTTTAAGTAAGGTTGATTAGTTTTCCTGACTGGGGCAATGAGAAAGTGAGGTATCAATGTTGATCCTAGGTTTCTGAGATGTTGAAGTTGGTGTGAAGAGTTGATTTCAGGGGGAGGTTAAAGAGTTGAATTTTGGCTATGCTGTCTTTAAGATGTCACAGAGACTGCCAGATTGAGGTGCCAAGTGGGCTGCTGAACATGCACGTATGGAGTTATGCCAGGTTCAGGCTAGAGATATCCAAGGAGTAGAGGACGGTCTATGGACACTGGGTGCAGCTGTGATATGGACTCATGATGGTGGTCAAGCCTCCTGAGAGGTGGGTCTGGGACAGGGAATGAGGCATAGAAGTGACAGGGGTAGGATGACAGTGGAGCCTGGGGTTGGGTTGATTTACTTCTACACCAGATTTTTGTGGCCATCCTTCAGGCCCTCAGAGAGTTGCAGGGGCAGAACAGGTCAGCTGGGAGAGTCTGCAAGCCACAGGTGGGGGACAGCATGTACAAAAGCAGATGTGGATGAGGTCAAGAGTATTTGAGATCTACTCATGGTTCTGGGTAGATGAGAGTTAAAGTAAGCAACAGGGCAAGGTGGGGAGGCATTGAATAGAGGGGTGATGGCTGCCTCTGGCAGTGGGGCTTTTGGAGATCTGCGGCAGGATTGGATCCTTGTTGTCTTTGTCAGGTATGCCATGTGCATAGTGCCATATGGGGATGCTACAGAGATGCCTCTGGTGTGGACGCTGTGGAGAAGCCTTACTCAGGGATGGTAAGTGAGAATGATACGGTCCAAAGAGTGACATGTACAAGATAAGGGTTTGTGAACTTATAGGCCCAAGGGCCTGGTACTAGTGGCTTATGGCATAAGGGTGAGCCCAGATTTTCTTGTGTTTGGGAGGTGAGATCTGGGGGACACAAGGGAAATTGGCCAGCAGGAAGGTGGTGGAACCCTGTGTGCCAGACCCAGAGCTTAGACACTGTTATCTGGCCACCTGTCTGTTGTTCCTCTAGTGTAGGCTGGCCTAGATGCAGTGACCAGTGGGAATATGAGAAGAGAGGGACACCAGTGATGCCAGGGCCTATTATCTCTTCCAAAGTGGAGGCTTGGGGAGGAGGGTGAGCTTTGAGTGGGTGTAGGGGTGATGGACTGAGAGTCATGAGAAGAGGAACTGCTAAAGGTAGACGTGGCAAGACCCTGAGTCACAGGTCAAGGGCCCAGATGTATCCATTTGGTTTTCTGGGCTTTTCAGCCTACCTGTTGGCCCCTTGGCTCAGCTGTTCCATCATTGCAGAGCCCAGTGACCTTTGAGGATGTGGCTGTGTACTTCTCCTGGGAGGAGTGGGGGCTCCTTGATGCAGCCCAGAGGCACCTGTACTACGATGTGATGCTGGAGAACTTCGAGCTCATGACCTCACTGGGTAAGACCATTATGCTATGCCCCATCATGGTGACAAGCCTTTGCCCTAGTCTTTTGCCCATTTAACGTCTGTCCATCCCAAAGCAGGACCACAGATGCTGCTTCCTAGGTGCTGTGGGTGCCAGGGCTAGCCCTTTCCTTTCCCTAATTAGTCCCTTGAGCAGTCCTAACAGCTGTTGTCCAAAGACCTTCTGTGAGCAGAGGTCAGAGATCAGGTATCTCCAGTCTGCCTAACAGATCCCAGAAAGCTAGATCAATCCTGAGTTGACCTGGGTGACTCAATGTGGGACCACAGCCCCTCCATGAAACACTTTTTTAAAAAAAAGCTTTACTGAAATATAACATACCATAAAGTTCATGCATTTAAAAGTGTACAATTCAATGTTTTTTAGTATATTTACAGTGTTGTGCAACCATTGCCATCATCTAATTTTACAACATTTTCATCACCCTGAGAGAAACCTTGTACCCACTAGCAGTCACCCATCTTCCTTCATCCCCTCCCACCAGTCCTACGCAACCACTAATCTAGTGACTATAGAGATTTGCCTATTCTGGACATTTCATATAAATGGAATCAGACAATAGTATGTGGTTTTTTGTGACCAGCCTCTTTCACTTAGCATAATGGTTTGTTTCTTTTAACATTTTATTGTGCTTTAGGTGAAATTAGCATAATGTTTTTGAGGTTAATCCATGCTGTAGCATGCATCATTACTTCATTTATTTTTATTGATGGATAAGTATAAGGATGGCATAGAACTGGGCAACATTTCAATCTGTTAAATACATAAGGTTGTTGTGCATTGGAGCCAACTCAATGGCACCTAACAACAACGACAATGTTCCATTGTGTTTTTCTCTATCTGTTCAATTGTTAACGGACATGTGGGTTGTTTCCACTTTTTGGCTATTATGAATAATGTGCTGTGAACATTTGTGTACAATGTTTTACTGCTTGTACTTCTGATGTAGCTAAGAAATCATTGCTTGACACGATGTTGTGAAGATTTACTCCCATATTTTCTTCTAAGAATCCACAGAATATTTTTCCAGGTCCTGCTGTGTCAGGAACTATGAACACTGACATGGTTACTGCTTTTAGTGATCACTATGAATATTCCTTCAAGAGCCTCCTCAAGATTCACTTTGTAATATTCAGTTGTATTCCTGGTTATGAAGATGATGCAAGCTCTTTGTGGTGTGCTGAGGGGTATCTGAGATCCTGGGACCAGGCTGGCCTCTTACTCTTCTTCTCTGCCTAGGACTTGACCCCTCAGATTTCATAAGGTCCCAAGTAGACTGGGATGAGGGGCCCTGGTGTCCAACAGAGTGGCTGTGACTCCAGCCATAGCAAGAGAGGCCTGGAGGGACCCTGGTCTTGATGAGTATAAGCTGGTCATGGGGGTCATGTTGAAGATGGGCTCAAAATATGCCAGGAAACTGGTATTCTGGTGCCAAGACCAGTGGCTCCTCCTCATTCCCATTTTTCTTTTCCCCTTCTGGCACTTTGTGCTTTTGCCATTTTCACTGTAATTCCCTGCCTGTGGCTGGGCCCCCACCTCTCTCGCTTCTCCTCCTCTGCTCCCCATGTGCTGCTGTCCCATATTGGCCTCCCCTCAATGTGACAGGACATGTGCACATACTTCTAAATATTACTTGAACACGAACTATTCAGTTATACTTGAATTTTCTGGGGCCTGGACACATGCATCTGCACAGCACTTGCCAGCCACCAACAACCAAGACCACGCTGAAACCCGTTTGAAGAGAAATAAGTTGGAGATGCTGCCTCTCCTGTCTATGCTCCATCCTTGTGTCCGCCCCCTGGTGGCCTGGCTGAACCCAGCCCTGCACAGCAGGCCCTTCTTTACCCTAATGCTGACCCCCTCAGCCTGCCAGCAATACCTTGGACCTATTCTTGGGTGTGTCATTCACATATTTCTAACAAAGCCACTCCTGTCCACCGAGTAGAACATGCAGTTAATTGGCATTTTTCTGATTTCAGGTTATTGGCATGGAATAGAGGATGAGGGGTCCTCTCCTAAGCAGAGTGTTTCTATAGAAGGAGTGTCACAGGTCAAGATCCCCAAGGCTGATCCTTCCACCCAGAAGGCTAACACCTGTGACATGTGTGGCCCATTCTTGAAAGACATTTTACACCTGGTTGAGCATCAAGGAACACACCCTAAAGAGAAATCATACATGTGTGGAGCATGTGGGAGAGACTTCTGGTTCACTGTAAACCTTCACCAGCACAAGAAGGAGCACAGTGGTGACAAACTCTTTAGATGGGACAAGGACAGGGACTCATTTGTGAAGAGCTCTAATATCCACCTGTCAGAGAAGCCCTTCACTTGTGGAAAGAGTGGGAAGGATGTCCCAGACAACCATATTCTCCAGCACCAGGCCATTCACAGCAGGGGGAAGCCACATAACACCAAGTGCAGGGAGGCCTTCCTGTACAGGTCTAATTTAGGGCAGCTCCCAGGAACCCACACTGCACAGGAACTCTCCAAGTGCAGTGACTGTGGGAAAGCCTTCTTGAGGAGCTCTACCCTACTTAGCCACCTCAAAACTCACTCTGAAAAGAGAACGTATAGCTGCCCAACCAGCAGAAATTCCTTCAAGGAAAAATCAACACTTGTTAATCACCAAAAATTTCATATTGGGGAAACATCCCCTGTATGTAAGGACTGTGGGAAAGCCTTTAGTCACCTGTCTAAACTAAGGAAGCACCAGAAATTTCACACTGGAATAAAACATTACGAGTGCACTAAATGTGGAAAAACCTCCAGCCACAAACTCACACTTGTACATCACAAGAGAATTCACACAGGAGAAAGGCCTTATGAGTGCAGTGAATGTGGGAAAGCCTTCAATAACAGGTCACACCTCATTCGACATGAGAAAGTTCACACTGGAGAAAGGCCTTTTGAGTGCAGCAGATGTGGAAGAGCCTTCAGCCAAAGCTCCAATTTCCTTCGGCATCAGAAAGTTCACACCCAAGTAAGGCCTTATGAGTGCAACCAATGTGGGAAAGCCTTTAGCCGCAGCTCTGCTCTTATTCAGCACTGGAGAGTTCACACTGGAGAAAGACCTTATGAATGCAGTGAGTGTGGAAGAGCCTTTAGCAATAACTCTAACCTTGCTCAGCACCAGAAAGTTCACACTGGAGAACGCCCTTTTGAGTGCAATGAATGTGGAAGAAACTTTAGCCAAAGCTCTCATCTCCTTCGGCATCAGAAAGTTCACACTGGAGAACGGCCTTTTGAATGCAGTGAATGTGGGAAAGCCTTCAGCAATAACTCTACTCTCATTCAGCACCAGAAAGTACACACTGGGCAAAGGCCTTATGAGTGCAGTGAGTGTAGAAAATCCTTCAGCCGCAGCTCCAGCCTGATTCAGCACTGGAGAATTCACACAGGAGAAAGGCCTTATGAGTGCAGTGAATGTGGAAAAGCCTTTGCTCACAGCTCCAGTCTCATCGAGCACTGGAGGGTTCACACCAGAGAAAAGCCTTATGAGTGCAGTGAATGTGGAAAATTCTTTAGCCAAAATTCCATTCTCATTAAACACCAGAAAGTTCACACTGGAGAAAAGCCTTATGAGTGCAGTGAATGTGGGAAATTCTTTAGCCGAAAGTCCAGCCTCATTTATCACTGGAGAGTTCACACTGGAGAAAGGCCTTATGAATGCAGTGAATGTGGGAGAGCTTTCAGCAGTAACTCCCACCTAGTTCGTCACCACAGAGTTCACACACAAGAGAGGCCCTATGAATGCAGCCAATGTGGGAAAGCCTTCAGTGAAAGATCCACACTTGCTCGTCATCAGATAGTTCACACCAGAGAGAGGACTTTTGAATGTGGCCAATGTGGGAAAATCTTCAGCCGCCTCTGCAACCTTGCTCAGCATAAAAGGATTCATACTTGAGTGGAGACTTATGAAAGTAGTCTTTGTGAGAAAATCTTCAGATAAGTCAAACTTCCTGCAACAAAACACCCATGCATGTACATGTACCACTAATGTGGGAAAATCCTCAGAAGTCAATTTGCCCTTTCTGACCAGCCCAGGTAACTGGGAAGGGCTGCCTCACCTCTGGAGCGTAGTGCAGAAGCCATAACCTCTCTTTATCTTGCCTGGATCCAAATTTTGCAGCAGTGATCTCCACAAGCACAGGAAAAGCAGCTCCCTGTGCTTCCTTCTCACTTTCCTGGAGGGAATCAGGATTGTCCTGGGCCCATTGGAATGGCTTCCTTCCCATTGCCTCTAAGAGTGTTAGGCATTGAACTGACCAAGGGACCTCAAGGGGTGTCTGATTTGGGCTTCTCAGAAAAGTTGATGTTCCTCATGGATGTGGTTAAGTATGCATGTAACCCCATGATGTGTCTGGTGAGCCCACAAATCACCCTGCCCTGGAACCACCTACCTTGATCTGCTCTATACTACCAGATAATAAAGACCTTATTAATTAAATCACCTTTAATACTGAGTTTTATTTATTTGTGTTGAAGTCACATGGAGTTGATTTTAAGTCCCCTGGAAGGGAGAGAGTTCTGCCTGATGTGTGGTCCTCCCTTACAGTGGTCCCTACATGTCACCACCCCCTCTCCTGCTGAGGATGGCCCAGGGTAGAGCCTCCTGGAGCTCAGCAGACTTTTCTACCATGCCCATGAATAGGGTCAAAGCCATGCCCAGGCTCTCGAGACTCAGATTCCACCAACATAAAGGCTGAACAGGTTGTACACTCTACCTTCTTACTCTGTATTGCCCTTCCCTGACCTGAGCAGCTCCTGACACATAGCACCTTCAAAAATGGGCCTTAGCCCCCAAACTCCCCACACACAGCCTAGGCCTCCCTTGGAGCAGTGAGCCCATCTCATAGCTTCCCATGTGGCTTAGAATAAACAAAACTCCCCATCCCTGCTTATAGAGCCCCATATGACCTGGTTCCTGACTTGATCCCCTGCTTCTCTACTCCCATGTGCACCACAAGATCTCCTGGTTGCTCCACCAGCCCACCAGCTCATTACTTCCCAGGGCCTCTGCAGTGCAGTCCCTCTTCCTGCAACACTCTTCCCCTGGAGCCACCTCCTCAGAGAGGTCTTCCCAACAACCAATCTGAAATAGTGTTCTTCTCTTTTTATCATCTCTTTTATTTTCTTCAGATTTCTACCCACTATCTGCAATTACCCTGTTCTTTGATCTGTTTACATGTTAAATCTCTATACTACACATGGGATTGAGATGGAGTGTGGGCCGGGACCATCCCTGCTCCATCCACTCATAACTGCAGCCGTGGGCCTGGCACACAGTAAGCCCCCAGGGAACATTTGTTGAATGAATGTATGGCTACTCAGCAGAACCTGTGCTGGGCCCAGACCACAACCCCATCATAGGTGACTCTTTGGAGAGGGACAGAGAAGGCACCATAAGGGAAAGATAGTACAGTAGTGAGTCCCTCTTCCTGCACTCAAGCAAGTTACCTGAGTCTACTTACATATTTGTTTCTTTTCGCTTGAACTGCTACTGTGTGTTGGAGACTGCACTGCCACAGCAAGGGACAAAATACACAGGGCTCTCCCTCGTGGAGCTGACATTCTAGTGGAGAGACAGGCATTCCTCAAGAAATCACAGAAATGTAAACTGGCAGCTGTTATAAGGGCTATGAAGGGGGCATCCTCGGTAGGTGTCAATCAAGGCCCCTTTCATTCTCTGTACTTCTGGTCTGCTCTCATGTCTATCTCCTGGGGGCTCAGGTGACCACTGCAATTGACTTTTGCCTTTTAGAGAAGGGAGGCCTTTTATGGCTGCTTATTTTGTACGGTTATGACTAATTTTAATGTATCAATTTCTCCACATTTTCTCTCAGTGGGCCTGGAGTCTGAGAGCTGGAAGAGCAACTAGAATTGCTGTAGTGCCAAGTACATCCCCTTTCACCCAGATGCTGCCATGTTCAGAGAATCATCCCTGTTTGTACTCCAGTCAGATGGTTTATCCCAAAAAGAAGATGGAGCTCTGGCCTACGGTGTCTGTTGCCCTCAGGATTTGGCCCCTTTGTCCTGGCATCCCACACCCAACCAGGAAGGCCTGGGAGTTTTGTTCCAGCCTAGAGGTGTCCAGCAGGGCTAAGACTCCTCAGAAGATTTGTAAAAAGTAGTACCAATCCATTACCATTACCTAGAAGCTGTGTGATTTCACAGCAGCCTGGGCTCATCTGGACAGACTAGGAGAACCCATGGCAGTTGCACCCCCTGGAGGCAGGTCAGCAGTTTGCCTTTGTCTCCACAGACCTGGTCCCTCCTTTGGGGCTGTGGCCCATTTCTGTGTGCAGGTGCTATGCTGTCAGGAACTTAGGTCAGGGAAGGGTGATTTAGAGTAAGAAAGCAGAGTGCACAACTTGATTAGCCTTTATGTTGGTGGAATCTGACCCTCGAGAGCCTGGCCATGGCTTTGACCCTATCTGTGGGTGTGGTGGAAAAGTTTGCTGAGCTCCAGGAGGCTCTGTCCTGGGCCATGCTTGGCAGGAGAGGGAATGGCAATATGTCAGGACCACTGTGGGGGAGGACCAAAAGGCTTCAACAAAAAGAATTTATTGGTTTACAGAACCAAAAAGTCTGTAAGACAACTTCAGGCAAAGCTGGGTCTAGACCTCAAGGAGATAAAAAAGACTCTGTCTCTTGCCATCACCCAGCTTGCTTGGCTTCCAGGCAGGCCTCTCTTTAAGGAAATGGTGGCTGCCTGCAGCCCCAGCTCCCATACATCTGGCAGGTGAACTCCAGGGGCCAAGAGCCAGAGTCCTTTGTCTCTCATTAGCCTGCCTCATGTCACACGACCATCCCTGACCCAATCATTATTTCTTCAGGTTAACCAGTCTTGAGGCATGTGCTCAGTAAATATTTGATGAGTAACTGACTGAATGAAAATGATTAATGGATATACTTCCTTGTCAACTGTTAATTAGCAAAATCCAGTTCAGACCTTTCTCCATTTCTCTTAGTAAAACTGAGCTATACTAGTCTGCTGACAGCTTAGGACAGTAAATGATAAAATTCCAGAGCCTGGCTTTTAAAATGAAAATCTTCAACATTAAGGAGACTCAATTGTGTTAGCAGATGTTTTGGTATGTATGTCTTCACCACAATAAAAAGAGAGAGAGAAAAAAAGAAGAGACTCAGTAAGAGACCAGGAAGGCTCCTCCTCACACACATTTATAAAGCAACATAGTGTCCAGCCTTGTGAACCAATTCAGTATTATGAGACAAGCTGCCAAATTGAGAACATACAGTTTCAACCTTGTTCTCTTAATATGGAGACTTTCATTTGTATTCATAATGATCACCAACTTGAATCATCACCTAGCACATCATATACTACAGAAAAATAAAATAAGCACTTTACCTCTGTAAATGAACATCAAGAAGCAAAAAACACCTACCTTGCACTAGTCCTCAAGATCAATGAAGCCTTGAGCCCTTGCCTGTATGTTGCTGGGTCCTTAATAAATACAAATGTATCTCTTAGTTTCAAAATAGTTGTGAGGATATAATCATGAGTACAAATTTAGGGCTGGTGTCAGGCCTGAGAGCAAAGTATCAAGGACAAAACAAGGGAGAAAACGTCAAATCCAAGGAGGGAGTCAGGGAAGCTTCATGGGAGAGGGACCATCTCAGCTTAATTGTGGAAGGGGTGTCATTGGGGGAAGAGAGGACTGGGGATAGCATCCTTGATAGGTTGAGGGAACAGGAACACGCCCAGGGTCAGGGAACTGCTGGATGGATTTCAGAGAACTGTCACTGGCCAAGGTAGAGAACAGTCTTAGGGCAGCCAAGATGGCAGCTGCAACAATGGGCTGATGGCACCTGCCTGCCAGATGAAGACTGGGCTAAAAGTTATGAAGCAAGTGAGCCCCATACAAACTGGTACCTTAGGCAGGTCAAAGCCACCAGGCCTCTATTCAGATGTTCTGGCATCACCAGGGAAAACTGCCGACTACCCCCTCCCACAGCAAGAGTACTGCTGTGTACTAAGCCCCAGAGGGACCAGAAGCAAGTTCAAGGAAAGAACAAGAGAACCCTTCACACTTGTGCTGTGGGCGATTTTATGAGATCTAACCATGGCCACCCACACAAGGTACAAGGAATTGAGCGCTGATGACAAATGTTTACCCTACGTCCATTTTCTTGGAGGTCTGAGTCCCACATGGCTCAGTTAGACTTAAACTCAGCCTCCATACAGACCCCGTTGTTGATGGCAGACAAATATTACACCCAGGGAGGATGGCCTGAACAGCCGGGAGGTGGGGTACTGGGGAAAAATTGAGGGGATCAGACACAAATTTCCTTGACTGTGACCCTGCCTGGGGTTCTACCCCTGGTATGGTCATCATCCTTCCTGCCATTGGGATTTGGTGGGGAGGAGAATCAGCTCAGGCAGAACAGCAGCAGCACTCTCAAACTCCACCACCAGTACTAGATGGGCACTGTTGCCCAAAGCCTCTCAAATCTAGGGTCTCCTTCTCTCTCCCCAAACGTCACTTCTAGAAAACATTATCTTCTTTTGAAGAAGCACAATTTTTGGAACAGGGACACAACTACATCCAAAATACAGGTTCTGCTGAACTGACATGCTAGTTCCATTGTGGAGAAATAGTTTCCAAAATTTTTTAAATCTAAAGTTCACACAAGCCAGATGTGATAACCATATATTGATTCCACCACCTCTCTCCCCTGAGCTCTGGGAGGGACAGCCTGCCACAGTGGCAGCAAAAACAGGACAACTAAGACCATGGTGACCAGAGAAATCAGAGACACTGGCTGGGTCTCAAAAGTCACATCCCAGGATACATTCTGTCAGTCCTAAGGTCATGGCCATGAAAGGAACAGTCCAGGGAATCTACAGGAATCCAGAAAACCTTTAGATTATTTGCTCTGACAGCAACCTTGGCCAGAGATAACAAGTCTGCAATTCCTGAGATGTTCTGGACACCCTTACCCCATGAAACCGTAGTTGCTGGAACATTTGTGGATGCCCCTTTAAAATGGCTCAACCTTAATAGTTTACCAGACCCTCCTACTCCATATTACTTCATACTTAGTGGTTCCATACCTACTTACTCTTCCCACCTTGCCCCTTACAGTCAGTGAATCCTTCCTTCCAAGTTTTAGATTCCAGAGGACACATCTTCTGAGTTTATTCTGGAAATAGCTTCCTCTGACCAATACTAAAGATTGCAGAACACTCGCTGGGAACAAGGGACCCAAATCTTGCTGGGCCTAGCCACACTCGAAGATCTCACACCAACTACATCATTCGTCAGGGTGACCTCTGGGCTTACAATCCTGATATCCAGGTCACAAAATTCACCCACAAAGCCCTTTAGTTTTTCCCTGGAGGCCTCAGACACCAATGCAAATCAGGCCAAAACTTGATTGAGAACCACTCTCTGTCATTCTTTGTCTCCTCTGAGGCCAACGAAGTCAAGGACTTCCTAAAAAGCCGTTCCTTCTATTCAGGCTGGCAAAGCCAAACTCTCTTCTCAACCCCTCTACACAAATGGAACAGAAGCCCCAATATTAAAGATAGCTTAAACAATAAGACTTTTATTATTACACTTTCCAAAGCAGTCTGTTCCAGGGCTGGACAAATCCATGACAGATAACATATGTAGTGTCAGGAGTGTCCACGAAAAAGAGACACCTTCTCTGGAAGCCCCCTGCACATACTAGCTCAGGTCCCTTTAGCCACCTAAACCAGTCAGTGGGGAGGGAATGAGGGCTCCTTATGGGCTTGCCCACTCATGATTCTCTCCTGGGTATAGAAGAACAAACACAGAAGTTTGCCTTCCCTGAGCATGTTCGGGAGACTGGCACGTATTGTGAGGAACTCCAGATGGTAAAGGTAGGATGGCTTTTCCCACAGGCACTGGCAGTGATATAACTGCCAAGGACCCTGGGCAGGTAAAAAAGTGCAACGAAGCTCCTAAATGCTTTCCCATATACCTGGCACTCATGGGGAATCTCCCCAAGGTAAGTGTTGAGATATACGAGGTTTAGCTTCTCTCAGACTATCACAAAGGCCACTCGCCTTGATCACCTGTCTGGAGTAAAACTTTTCATGTTGAACAAGGTGACAGCCATGGCTAAAGACTTTCCCACATCCCTGTCCTCCTAAGGCCTTTCTCCACTGTGGACTTTCTTGTGCTGAAGGAGGGTAGAACTATGTTTGAAAGCTTTCCCACATTCTGTACATTCATAGGACCTCTCTTCACTGTGAAACTGCTGGTGCCGATTGCGGTAAGACCTGGTAGTGAAGGCTTTCCCACATAGGCTGCATTCATAAGGCCGTTCTCCAGTGTGAACTTTCCAGTGCTGATATAGCCCAGAGCGGGTTATATAGGTCTTCCCACATTGGTTGCACTCAAACGGCCTCTCTCCAGTGTGAACCCTCTGGTGAAGAATGAAGCTATTATTGTATTTAAAGAACTTCCCACATTCCCTGCACTCATAGGGCCTTTCTCCAATATGAACTTTCCGGTGCCGAATGAGGGTAGACAGAACACTGAAGGCTTTCCCACATTCACTGCACTTATAAGGCCTTTCTCCTGTGTGAATTCTCTTGTGCAGAACAAGTGCGTCTTTGCGGTTGAAAGTTTTCCCACATTCACTACATTTGAAAGGTTTTATTCCAGTGTGAACTTTCTGGTGCTTCCTCAATTTAGAAGGGTAACTGAAGGCCCTCCCACACTCATTACACACATGGGATGTTTCTCCACTGTGAATTTTTTGGTGATTAACAGGGACTGATTTATCCTTGGAAGCATTTCTGCCTGCTGGGCACCTGTGTGATCTCTCTTCAGAGTGAGTTAGCAGGTGATCAAGGAGAGCGAAGGCCTTCAGGAAGGCTTTTCCACAGTTACTGCACCTGAAGGGATTCTGTCTAGCACAGACTCCCTGCTGCCACCTAAGATTGGAGCTGTGTGGAAAGGCCTCTCCGCAGTTGGTGCTCCTGTGTGGCTTCTCCCCATTGTGAGTAGCCTGAAGATGGACGAAGCCCAATCTGGCCATAACGTCCTTCGGAGACTCCCCACGAATAAAGGGCTTCTTTAATAGGTGGGCTCTGAAGCTCTTCACATGCTTGAGAGGGGCTCCCTCATCCTCTGCTCCACACAGACAACCTGAAAACAGAAAAATGTCACTTACTGAGGTGCTGGATTGGAAGAGGGGCAACTTCATCAGCAATACATACCAACACAACCAGGAAGGAGTCCGTGGGCTTGTTGGCAGGTGAAGGGAGAAGAGCCTGAGTGAGGAAGGGCCAAATCAGCAGGATAGGACCTAGCCAACCCACAGAAAGGGAGAGACAACAGGGATGAGGACACAAAGATAGGGTGCAGCGCCTTGGCTGCTGCTGACAGATAAGTACTGTGCAGAGAGGTGTGACTAATCTCATGAAAAAAATGGTTGCAACAGAGTAGCTAGTGTTCAAACATTATTTAAGGACATGTGCACATCTCATGTCACACATAGAGTAGGTCAAAACTGCACAGCTCTGCACTAGCACAAAGAAGGGGAAATCAGAAGACAGAGGCAAGAGAGGTGGGATCATCCAGGGCCTAAGAGTCATGGCAGAAATGGCAAGAGTGTGGAACATACAGAAGAGAGAGGAAAGGTGGGAATGAGGTGTGGTCACTGGCCTCAGAAATACCAAAGCATCAGTGCACACAGGCACCCAGCATGCCTTAAGCCTATCCCTAAAACTATGGCATTCCCCCAGCTCCCACTTCTCAAGACCAGGACCCTTCCTGGCCTCTGCTCTGCTGACCAGAATCACATCTAACATGTTGGGTACCCAGGGTTCTTCACTGCCCAACTGGGCAACCACATGTGATCTTGAAGGTGCAAGTCCTAGGGGAGGAAAAGGTAGTAAGTGGTCAGACCAAGCCAAGGCTGACCCACCCCATTACACACCATAAGGAGCCCATGTCATTGTGGCAACCAGGAAGAAAACTGACTATTGAAAAAAATAAACCTTCTATGAAGCAAAAATGACAAAATTAAAGGGAAGAATAGAAAATTCCACAATAATAGCTGGAGATACATTTTCCCACTTTCGATAATAGAACCACCAGGCAGAAAATGAACAAAGATATAGCAGACTTGAATAATACTAAAAGCCAACTAGACCTAGATGTCTATAGAACATTCCACTCAACAGCAGAATACACATTCTTCTCAAGCTCACATAGAATATTCTCCAGAATAGACCATTTGGTAGGAATAAAAATAGCCTTAATAAATTTCAAAGAATTGAAATAATACAGTAGGTTCTCCAACCACAATGAAATTAAATTATATATCAACAACAGAAAGAAATTTGGGAAACTTACAAATATGTGAAATTTAAACAACACATTCCTAAATAACTAATGGTTCAATCAAAAAAAAAATTACTAAAAAATAGTTTGAGATGAATGAAAATAAAAACATACCAAAACTTACAGGATATGGCTAAAGCAACGTGTAGATGGAAATTTAGAGCTATAAACATCTATATCAAAAAAGAAAGATCTCAAATTCAATAACCTAAATTTCCACTTTAGATAGAAAGAGACAGACAGCTGCTCTCAAGTTGGCTCCGATTCATGACAACCTATATACAAGAGAACGCAACATTGCCTGGCCTTGCATCATCTTCATGATTGCCAGTATGTTCGAGTCCATCATTGTGGCTACTGTGCCAATCCATCTCACTGAAGGTCTTCTTCACCCTGACTCTCTACTTTACCAAACATAATTTCCTCCTCCAGCAATTGATCCTCCTGATGATGTATCCAAAGCAAGTGAGTCAGAAAATGTTCTGTTGTGATCAATAAGGTTTTCACTGGTTAATTTTTGGAAGTAAATGACCAACCCTTTCTTGCTAGTCTGTCTTAGTCTGGAGGCTCCACTGAAACCTGTCCACCATGGGTGACACTGCTGGTATTTGAAATACCAATGGCATAGCTTCCAGGATTATTGCAATACACAAGGTACCACAGTATGAAAAATTAACAGATGGGTGGTAGACCTTAGAAAACTAGAAAGAAGAAACTAAGAAGGAAGGAAATAACAAAGATTAGAGTGGTAATAAGTGTAATAGAGAACTGAAAAACAATGGAAAAAGTCAATGGTTCTTTGAAAAGATCAAGAAAATTAACAAACCTTAACTAGACTAATCAAAAAAAGAGAAGACTTAATTTAGTACAAGTAGGAATGAAAAGGAGACAATACTACTGACCTTATGGAAATAAAAACGATTATAAGAAAATACTAAGAGAGGTGGGACCAAGATGGCAGAGCAGTCAGGTGCTTCCTGTGGTCCCTCTTATAACAAACACCCGAAAAAACAAGTGAATTGATTATATATGACAATCTAGGAGCCCTGAACATCAAAGATAAAGTTGAGGAATCAGACTGAGTGGAGGGATAGGGAGGGACAGTTCGGAAGCAGCGAGGAGTTGCCAGACCTGACCCAGTGGGAACCAGTACCAGTTCCACACTGGGTGAGACTGAGCAGCAGAGTCTACTCGAGCCTCCAGAATCAGTGAAAAGCGGTGCTCAATCAGCAAAAGATAAGTACATGCGTCTGACCTATGGCGCAGATCAAGAAACACCCCTGCCTTAGTCAACTAGTGCTGCTATAACAGAAATACCACAAGTGGATGGCCTTAACAAAGAGAAATTTATTTTTTCACAGTAAAGTAGGCTAAAAGTCCAAATTCAGGGAGTCAGCTCCAGGGGAAGGTTCTCTCTGTGTCAGTCTTCTCATCAATGCTCCCCCAGACTAGGAGCTTCTCCGCGCAGGGAGACCCCAGGTCCAAAAGACGCACTCTGCTCCCGGAACTGCTTTCTTGGTGGTATGAGGTCCCCATGCTGTATGCTCCCTTCTCTCTTTTATATCTCAAGAGATTGCCTCAAGATACAATCCAATCTTGTAGACTGAGTCCTGCCTCACTAACGCAACTGCCGCCCATCCTCCCTCATTAACATCATAAAGGCAGGATTTACAACATATAGGAATCACACAATACTAGGAATCATGGCCCAGCCAAATTGATAAACACATTTTTGGGGGGACATTATTCAATCCATGACAACCCCCTTTGAAAAAAACCTCTCCTCCATTTAACTGCCCCCTCCCCCCTCTGCACCAGGTCCTGGCAGGCTTCAGCGATTGTCAAGTCCCCTGGGCCAGAAGTAAGACCCGTCACGTTCCCTGAGCCATCCTCCTGGCCTTGGAGAGAACATAAATTAACAGGGAAAAATAATCTGCCAGCTCCCCTAAGCCAGGAACTCAGGCTAGGCACACCTCCTTTGCCTAGGCACAGGCATAAGGGGTTCACGGACTTTGGCTTTCACCCCTGCATAGAGCTGTGTGGGCCCATTTCAACAGCGAAGGCCCTCATTACCACAGTACAACAGGGTATATACCTGAAGCCTAACTTCAGCTGTATCAGCTATTTGGTAAAGTGGCAGGTTCGTGACATTTGACACTGCTCTGACCATTAAGCAGGGTCCTCACCTACCCACATCAGGGGTCTGAGGACTTGTAGCTCCACCCACGCCACCTAGCCACCGCGACAGGGGTCCAAGAATAAGTGGGGCCTCCCAGTCCTCAGAGCCAACAGCATTGGGTGCCCATAGTCCAGCTGCAAAACACACCCACCTATGTGCTCTAGGAAACAGGGACACGCTTTCCTCCCAGACACTTGGGGAAGCCGTCAGCCTCCTGTCTTGCTCAGTGCGTGATCCCCTACTGCAGACAGATACCTGTGCCTACACCAATCACCCCTCCCTGTAGCACTCTAGGTGAGAGCCTGCACCATACACTTGGTGAACGACTACCTGGACACCTGAGCTAAATCCATACAAGTAAACAGATTCCTGGGCTCACACATCTAGTAACAGATCTAACCACCTGGTGACAGGACATTACATTAGAGCTCCTAAGGCGCAAGTAATCAAACTAGCTCACATGAGCAACCTACTTGGACATATCAAAACAAGAAGCTAGGACACAGTAAGTAAACATAAAACAAAAAAATATAATAACTTATTGATGGCTCAGAGACAAGAGTCAATATCAAATCACATAAAGGTGCAGACCATGATGGCTTCGGCAAGCTCCCCAAAAAAAAAGCAAGAAATTTTCTGGAGGAAGAGAACTTCTTGGAATTACTGGAGGTAAAATACAAAAGATTAATATACAGAACTCTTCAACAGATCAGCCAAAACACAGAACAAGCTAAGGAACACACAGACAGACAAAGCAATAGAGGGTCTTAAAGAGGTTATTCAGGAGCATAATGACAAATTTATCAGGCTGCCAGAATCCGTAGAAAGACAGTAATCAGAAATCCAGAAGATTAACAATAAAATTTCAGAATTAGACAACTCAATAGAAAGTCATAGGAGCAGGACTGAGGCAACAGAAGTCAGAATTAATGAGACTGAAGATAAAGCACTTGACACCAATGTATTTGAGGAAAAATCCGATAAAAGAATTTAAAAAAATGAAGAAACTCTAAGAATTATGTGGGACTCTATTAAGAGGAATAACCTACGAGTGATTGGAGTACCAGAACAGGGCGGGGGAGGGGATAACAGAAACACTCAGAGAATTGTTGAAGATTTGTTGGCAGAAAACGTCCCTGATATCATGAAAGATGAGAAGATATCTATCCAAGATGCTCATTGAACCCCACATAAGGTAGATCCCAAAAAAAAGTTACCAAGACATATTATAATCAAACTTGCCAAAACCAAAGATAAAGAGACAATTTTAAGAGTGGCTAGGGATAAACAAAAAGTCACTTACAAAGGAGACTCAATAAAGCTAAGCTCGGACTACTCAGCAGAAGCCATGCAGGCAAGAAGGCAATGGGATGACACATATAAAACCTTGAAGAAAAAAACTGTCAACCAAGAATTATATATCCAGCGAAACTGTCTCAAATATGATGGCGAAATTAGGGCATTTCCAAATAAACAGAAGTTTAAGGAATTTGCAAAAACCAAACCAAAATTACAAGAAATACTAAAGGGAGTCCTCTGGTTAGCAAATCAATAACATCCGATAACAACCTAAGACTAGAATGCAGGACAAAGCAACCAGATGTCAACCCAGATAAGGAAGTCACAAAAGTAAATCAAAGCTAAGGCATTGAAAATAGGGTAACAGAGACTCAAATATGTAAAAGACTACAACATTAAAACAAAAAAGAGGGACTAAAAAATGTAGTCATAGATTTTCCATATGGAAAGGAAGTCAAGGTGATATAAAGAAATAAAAAAGTGGTTTAAGCTTAGAAAAACTGGGGTAAATATTAAGGTAACCACAAAGGAAATTAACTATCCTACACATCAAAATAAAAAACAAGAAAAACATAAAGACTCAGCAAATACAAAATCCACAACACTGAAAAAAAAATACATAGCGAAAAACGACTTAGCACAGAAAATTAAGTGGAACAAAGAAACTGTCAAAAACACACCAAAAAAAGACATCAAAATGACAGCACTAAACTCATATCTATCAATAATTACTCTCAGTGTAAATGGACTAATTGCACCAATAAAGAGATAGAGAGTGAAAGGATGGATTAAAAAAACATGATCCATCTATATGCTGCCTACAAGAGACACACCTTAGATTTAAAGACACAAACTAAAACTCAAAGGATGGAAAAAAATATACTAAGCAAACAACATTCAGACAAGAGCAGGAGTGGCAATGTTAATCTCTGACAAAATAGACTTTGAGGTAAAATCCATCACAAAGGATAAGGAAGGACATTATATAATGATTAAAGGATCATTACACCAGGAGGATATAACTATAATAAATATTTATGCACCCAACGACA